TGTTTCCCCCCCTTCCCCCTCCCCCCAGAGGAGCGCCTGACTTTCGTGGGTGACGAGGAGCTGGAAATGGAGGTGCAGGTCCCCCGGGCAGCCATGAGATCCATCATCGGGCGGAAAGGAGCCACCATCAAGAAGGTGAGGGGTGTTGGAGGCCACCCCGCTCGTCTTGGGGGGGGGACACGGGGGGAGGCCGAGCTCCCTGGGACCCCCGGTAAATGCCAGTCCCACCCTTTCTCCCCGCAGCTACGGCAGGAGACGGGGGCTCACATCGAGGGGGAGAGAGAGGAGGAGGGCGAGGAGACGGCGCTGCTCATCTCCGGTGCCCCCGCGCAGGTCTGCCGGGCCAAAGCCGCCATCCACCAGATCGTGGCCGAGAGCACCCCGGTGTCGGAGCAGCTCTGCGTGCCCCAGAGAGCCGTGGGCAGGATTATCGGTACCCCCAACCCCCCCGGGAGACACCCCCCGCCGTCTCCTGGGGGCACGATGGCTGCTAAAAACCCCCATGGCCTTAACCCCCCCAGTTCCCTGCGGGATGGAGGCTGGTTCCTGCCCTGAACCGGCCCCTTCCCCGGTTCCTGCCCTGAACCGGCCCCTTCCCCGGTTCCTGCCCTGAACCGGCCCCTTCCCCGGTTCCTGCCCTGAACCAGCCCCTTCCCCGGTTCCCCGGGGGGGGTTTTCTTGTCTCCCCCAGGCCGGGGGGGTGAGACGGTGCGGGGCATCTGCCGCAGCTCGGGGGCCAAAGTGCTGTGCGAGCGGGAGGCCGAGGCCGGGCTGGCCCCCGTCAGGGTCATCCAGCTCTCGGGGACGCAGAAGGAGGTGGCGGCCGCCAAGGTGAGGAGGGGGAGGCCGCAGGGTTGGGGCAGGGGGTGCCCGAGGTGGTGCCCCCAGCCCAACCCTCTCCTCTTTCCCCAAGAAACTCATCATGGAGAAGCTGATGGAGGAGGACGCCTTCCGCAAGGAGCTGGCGCAGTCGGCCGCCGCGCGGTGCCAGCGAAAGCAGCCCCTGGGCAGCCGGAGGGAGATGGAGCCGCTCCCCGACGGGGCACCGGAGCCCAGGGAGGAAGATGGGGGTTCATCTTGGGGCGAAGGCTCCTTCCTGGGCTGGGAGGATGAAAGCGAGGAGCCGGAGGAGCCGCCGGCGGGGCCCGAGGCCGCCGTGCCCAAATTTGAGGGTAAGAGAAGCGTTTGCCTCATCCCCGGAGTGCGACGAGGGATTTGTGTCGTGGGGGGGGGACACATTTACTCGGGGACCTGTGGGGGGTCAGGAGCCCCTTTCTTGGTGCTGGGTGTCCCTGTTGGAGCAACACAGGGCCCCTTTCTCCTTCAGTGATTTCATTTTCCAGTCAGGTCTCTTCTAACGCCGGGGAAAACCGCGCTTTTGGAAGACTCCGGCGTCTTGAGTTTGGGATGATGTTTATTTCCCAGCCGGGTCTGGGGGGGGGGTTTCAAGGTCTCGGTGTTTTCGAGCCTCCCCGGGTGCAGGGACAAGGAGGAGTGAGACCCGGGCACTGGGCCTGGGGTTATTTCATCCCAAGAACGGCACATTCTGTAGAAATTAGGAAATTTTGCTGAGTTTTTCTCTCTGACTTCCATCTCAAGAACTCCCTGCCCCCAGTGCTGAGTATAATCCCGGTGTATTTTATGTTGCTATCGGGGTCAATATAGGCTCTTTAATATTATTAATGCTAATTATTTAGTATTATTCTGTTAAAATAAATTTATATTTCAACACTTGGGTTGCCTTACTCTTTCCAACTCCCTTTCCCAAGTTGGGGGGGGGTTATGGGCTGGTAGAATAATTGTCTGAACGACAACAAATTGTGCCTTACTCTTTCCAACTCCCTTTCCCAAGTCGTGGGGGGGTTATGGGCTGATAGAATAATTATCTGAACAACAACGAATTGTTGTGATTTCTTCAAACTGTAGTGCTGGGAGGTCGGGGGGGTCCCCTCGGCCGCTCTCACCGGGGGCTCCCCCCTCTTCTCCCCCAGTTCCCAGCCCCGATTTCAGCTTCCAGGCCGACGAGCACCTGGAGGTTTACATCTCGGCCACGGAGAACCCCCACCACTTCTGGGTGCAGATCGTGGGGCACCGCAGCCTGCAGCTGGACAAGCTGACGGCCGAGATGGGCCAGTACTACCAGGGCAGCGGCCGCGCGGTGAGACCCCCCGGGGCACCGTGTGTCCCCCCCCTGACACCAGAGGGTCCCCTGAACCCCCCCGGGGGATTTCACCCACCCTGTGTGTCCCCCCTCCCCAGGCAGAGCTCCCCACCGTCCAGGCAGGGGACATCGTGGCCGCCCCTTACGCCGCCGACAGCGAGTGGTACCGAGCCCGCGTCCTGGGCCAGCTGGAAAACGGCAACTTTGACCTTTACTACGTGGATTTTGGGGACAACGGGGAGGCCCCCCGCGAGGCGCTGCGAGCCCTGCGGTGAGTGGGGGGGTGGCATCTTTTGGGGGGACACACACAAAGTGGGGGGGGCTGTGGTT